TTACATTCAAATTCTGCCTTTCAACTCTCCATTCAAAATTTCGATTATGGGTTACCAAGTTTGTCTATGCCATAAGAGCCTTGTCTAATACAAGTTTGTCTATAGCACAAGAGCCTTGTCTAATACATCAACATATTTGGGCAATTTCAGAACATTAACTCTATCAAGAATTGCATCTCGGAGGCCTCCCTCAAATTTCCTTGCCTTCTTATGGTTTGTGTCGACCATATGTGGTGTGAACCATGCTAATTCCGTGAATAGGGACTCATACTTTGCCACTGATTTGTTCCCGTATTTCAATTGTTTAAACTTTGTCACCTTTTTGTCCCGAATACACTGCGGGAAGTACTTCTCATAGAAGATCTCTAGGAACTAAGCCCAATTGATTCCCTTATTAGTGTCTCGTACCAACATCCACCTCCTTCTTGCTTCGTCTTCTAAGGTAAAGGTGGCTGGCTGCACTTTATATGTCTTCGTGCATGGAAACACCTCAAACAACTTTTCAATCCCCAATACCCAGGCCTCGGCTTTTACCGGATCAATGCCCCTATGGAACAAAGGGGCTTTATCTTTATCAACTCTTTGGTGAGGGCAATGGTTCTCTCTTGGTCTGGTACTAGTGGTACAGGCATTGGAGATGGAGGTGGTGGTTGTTGTTGCTGCCATTACTACTGTTGTCTTGGGTTTTCAGCCATATCCTGTATTATCTTTTCCATTCGATCAAAACGGTTGGAGGTAGACTCCTCTAGTTCATCTCCTCTTGTTCTCACCAGTATCTATATGAAACTTGTATCATAACAAATACATTGTACGCACACACATACTTATACACTTTCAAAATAGATATCTCATCTTGTTATTCAAATGCATATAAATACAATCCTTAAGTCTTTCTAGACACCTTATTGCTCAACGGACAAGTGAGTGAGATATAACTAATGCTTTGATACGAAACTATCACGACCCAAGCCTGCCCCTACATGTTTAGGCCATAACCGGCCAGTAATCCCAGATTACCTCCAGCCTCAAAGACAAATCCAATAATAAGAATAATTCAAGGGCATAGAGGAAGCAATATTGAAATATAACATGCCCGTCAAGCGGTGCATACATGAAAATCATACAAATTTAAAACTCGAACTCCTTCATAGATATAGATACAAAAATATGACATAGATTCTTAGCACAACTTGTCCATCCATTTGTACTTCAAAACAAAGGAAAAACTAAACAAAGATAAAAAAAAAAACAAAACAAAGTTCCACATTACATAGGGTTGACACACTTGGCTATGCATGAGACCAAGATCGCCCCATCATAGAGGCACTTCTGAATTGGATGAAAAATGGTGGACTCCCGAGGTTACTCTATACTTGACGCTCCAACTGCTTACCAACATATATATAGGGTAAAAGGGTAAGCTAAATCCCAGTGAGTAATACAAGTATAAAGCGGTTAAATGAATGATGTATATCATTGTACAAAATCATACCATATGAGTTTGAATCATACCATAAGTGATTACTTGTCATATCGAAGTTCACAAATCATATTCATATGTGGTACATCCATTAGTGCATGATGAGACCATATAGGTCTAACATATGTAGGGACCCCTTGTACATCAAAGATCTCTATCACAATGGGCCACGGTATTGTTACCCCTGAGCAAGGGTTGTAGGCTGCGGTATTGTTTCTTACGTGTAAGGGCTGTAGGCTGTGTATTGTTTCTCTCAGGCGAGGGCCGTAGCCTGCGGTATTGTTTCCCTCGGGCGAGGGCCATGCGCTGTAGTATTGTTTCCCCTAGGTGAGGGTTATAGGCTATGGTATTATTTGCTCTAGGTGAGGGCTGTAGGCCATAGTATTGGTACTCCCAGGCGAGGGCTACACTAAGGATGCCACACTAAGGATGCCACAATTACATTTCGAAAGAGACAATCATTCATTGTAACAAAATAGCATTTCAAAATAATGAGCTTGCAGTAAACCAAAACACTTTAATAACGTATCTTTACCAACGCTCTACTCATTGTGGGTGGGTACTGATGGTAGAACTCGGTTGACCACCTATACAAACACATAGCACAAGTACACATTGAAGGGATTCATCCAAAACAAGTTATCCAAAACAAGTAGCGTGTCTTAATTCATTTCCTTTATGTGTGTCTCTAGGTTATTCCATGTTTAAGGATGTTCAAATGATACAAAAGAATGCCTAAATAAGCATGAGGGTGCAATTATGTATTCATGAGTGTTAATCAAAAGTTGTAGAAAACAGGGCCTTTGCTCGAGCACACACTTTGTCAATTGAGCAGTCTAGCAATATGCAAAGGGTTCACTCGAGCACACACTTGGTTGCTCGAGCCGTTTGTAATGACTACAAAAGTACTGGATGCCCGATTTTTATGCTCGACGGTCGCTTGATAGTTGCTCGAGCCAAGTACTAAACAAAAGTGGATTCGCTTGAGTGCACACTTGGTCGTTCTAGCCAACTACCAAATGTCTAGAAAAGTTGTCACACCCCAAACTCGCCCCTCAAAGTTTGGGTATGATTGACACGCAATGAGTTCGAAAATCAAATAAATATATAACATGAATAGCATATGGAATGGGGCCTAAACGAAAGCAATTATTAATCTAAAATGTCATCCATTGAGCTAGTGCTTAAATGCCAGGATCACAAAACTTTTCATCACATAATCCAACAAATAACGAAGCATATACATAAGTGACAATTATATACATACATACATATATACATACATATACAAATCCCAACCCCACAACTGCGGGTATAGCTAAACATTCAAAGGAGAAAGTTATACATGTTTGTCGACATTTGACAAAAGTACTAATGACCCCACATTACGAGCCATGAAAGGAACTCTACAAAATAAACACGTTCCATTTAATTGATTGGACACAATGGGGTCAACAACAGAGTTGCTAGAGCTGGACTAAGATTGACCTCCAAGCTGATTACCTACATAGATATACATAACACATAGTGAGCGGGGCTCAGTGAATAATAGCATGTAGGTAATTTGAATGAATAAACGAAGATCACATTATAGTAAGGATATACTTCACATGCTTGTCTTTATTCTGAATTCATTTCCAAAACGGCCTTAGGCCCATTATTCTACAAAACAGCCTCAGGCCCAATAGTGTACTGAACGGCCTCAGGCCCAATATCATACAGAACGGCCTTAGGCCCAACATATCAATAGCTGTTTAGAGCATTCGAGGATAGGTAGAACATCAACATGAACAGCACCTCCCTCGGCCTTAGGCCTTAAGTCACATATAGTTCAATCATGTCGGGTTGATGAGAGATCAGCATGTCATACCCCCCTCAGCCTTAGAGCCGCCAACAATTAGTGGCTTATAACCGAACGGCCTCAGGCCCATGAATAGTTAAGAAGAACGAGCTCAGGTCCATAATCATAATATTGTTTAAACATTACCATACAAGTCATTCACTTGTTCATCATAACCAAACATAACTCATTTACAAGTAATGATGCGTTAACATTAATTATCGAAAATAAACAGAACACAACACTACACTACTATTACTCACAGTGCTGTGGCAGAGCAATAGTCCCTTCCCGCATGGGACCTACATATAGCATGCAACTCACAAGTTAGCCTATTTTCTTTAGTTTTTCCGTTTTAATCAATGCCCGATTCGCCCACCCTTCATTAAATTACAAGCATTTTTAAAGTTTCATATGCACATTTTAGCATTCCTAGAGGGTCAAACAGAAGAAAGGAAACACACAAGATTTTTCCTCTTGGGCCGCACTTGCGGAAGCCCTTCGTTGCACGTGCGGGAAGGTAGGCTGCACGTGCACCCCGCACGTGTATTTATTTTAGAATCTCAACTTCACACTCCCCTATTTTCCGCACGTGCTGCTGTGACCCCCGCACGTGCGGTGGTGCTTCTCGCACGTGCGGCCATGAGCCCCGCACGTACGGTCGCAACCCCTGTTTTGAGTAGTCCGAAATAAGACACACACCCAACTAGGTCAACACAATACAAGGTGCAAAATAGAGGAATTTAAGACAATATGATGATATAACACCACACTAACATGAATCCTAAGCTCAATTAAGCCTTCATTTCCTTCAAATTCATATACACAACCCAATTCCTTAAAAGTTCTAGCCATATTAGGTTTTCAATTATATATATATATAACCGTTTAAATATATAGATGAGTTCAAACATATAAACCAAAGAATATGATGTAATTCTCCTTCACAAAGCTCAAAATAGTTCAAACAACTAAAATACAAGGATCTTCCTTCTAATTAACCAACTATCACACACAAGCACCTTCTTGAAACTCTAGCCTTCACGAATATCCAAACTTTCTACTCAAATCAATTAGAGAGGATTTTCTTAGTGAATTAAACTTACCTTGGACTCAAATCTCTAAAATTCGTCTCAATTCTTCAAGTTTCCCTCTTGTTGAGCCTCCTCTTCTTCCTCTCCTTCTCTCACTCTCTCCTTCTCTCACTCTTCCTTTCTCTCAGGAGATATTTCTATGTGATAGAATTGCCAAGTTAAGAGTTTAAAAGGGTCAACTAAGAGCTGACCACAAATTAATCATTACGAATCAAATTTTTACAAAAAATCACATTATGATCTAAAAATCATGCTTATCATAATTACAAAGTCAATTTCGGGTTATCAAGCTTCTAAGGCTTTCAAATACTAATCCAAACATCACAATTGTAACAGATTTTTCTCATAATTGACAGATATAAATCCATAATCATACAATTCCCATATTTAAACTAAATTTTACCTAGAATTTCACTTTAAGCATATTACTGCGCATATAATACGAGACTGAAAGCATACCAGAAACATATAAGAGGGTCGGGTTATTACACTCTCCCTCCCTTAAATAAGTTTGGTCCCTCAAACTTGTTTTACCTTACGATAGAAACAATTCTGGATATTGGTATTGCATTTCCTCTTCCTTTTCTCAAGTAGCCTCTGTCCCATAATGTTCCTGCCATTCGACTTTTACCATTGAGATTACCCAATTATGTAGTTGTTTCAATTGCCTGTCCAATATGCGAATTGGTGTTTCTTCATAGGTTAATTTATCATCCAAGGTGATTTGGTGGTAATCTATGACATGGGATGGATCTGGGAGGTAACCTCGCAACACAGATACATGAAATACGTTATGGACTTGGCCCATACTTAGTGGAAGAGCAACTCGATAAGCTACTGAACTCACTTTCTCAAGAATTTGGAATGGACCAACATATCGGGATGTTAGCTTACCCATTTTACTGAATCTTGGATGTCCCTTCATCGGAGTAGCTTTCACAAAAACATGGCTACTTATCTCAAATTCCAAATCCCTTCGTCGGTGATCTGCGTAACTCTTCTGTCTACTTTGTGTGGTTTTCAATCTTTCTCGAATAGTTTTAATCTTTTTAGTCGTCAGCTATACAATTTCAGGCTCTAACAACGATCTATCTCTGACTTTGGCCCAACACACGGGGAACGACATGGTCTTCCATATAAGGCTTCATAGGGGGCCATTCCAATGCTCGAATGGTAACTATTATTTTATGCAAACTCCACCAACGGTAAATGAGTTTCCTAACTCCCCTGGAAGTCCGAAACACATATTCGTAGCATATTTTCTAAGGTTTGTATTGTCCTCTCGAATTGACCATCGGTCTGGGGGTGAAAGGCTGTGCTAAACTTTAACTCTAACCCCATAGCATTCTGTAAAACTTGCCAAAATCTGGACACGAATTTCGGGTCTCTGTCTGACACAATCGAAACCAGAACACCATGGAGCCTCACAATTTCATTCATATAAATTATAGCAAGTTTATCCGCATTATACTGAGTTTTCACAGGTAGGAAATGAGCGGATTTAGTTAACTGGTCTACGATGACCCATATAGAATTCATACCCCGAGAGGTCCGTGGTAAGCCCACAACGAAATCCATAGTCAAATGTTCCCACTTCCACTTCGGGATAGGAAAAGGTTGAAGCAACCCTGCCGGTCTCTGGTGTTCTGCCTTTACTTGCTGACATTGCAAACATTTCGAAACAAACTCCACGATTTCTTTCTTCATATTCGGCCACCAAAAGTTTTGCTTTAAATCCCGATACATCTTGGTACTCTCGGGATGTATTGAAAATCTCAAGGCATGTGCTTCTTCCATCAAGTTCTTTTTAATTTCCAATACCTTGGGAACACATAATCTGCATTGAAGTTTAAGTACTGAATTTGCAAAATCAAATCCAGGTTTTGGTTTTGTCTCCACCTCATCCCTGATCTTTCTTAATAATTCATCTTCCATCTGTTATTGCTTGATTTCTTCGATTAATGTCGACTGGGTTGATATTGCTGCTACTATAGTGTCCTGACTATGCATGACAATGTCCACGTTCATCCTTTCTAATTCAAGTGATAATTCCTTCAGCCTCGTGAGCAAATTTGCCAAGTTTCCCATACCTTTTCGACTAAGAACGCCAGCAACTGTATTGGCTTTGCCGGGATCGTAACAAATTTGCAAATCATAGTCCTTAATAAGGTCCAACCATTGTTGTTGTCGCATATTCAACTCTTTTTGGGTAAAGAGGTACTTGAGGCTTTTATGATCGATATAGACTTCACAAGTAGTGTCATACAAATAATGTCGCCAGATCTTCAAAGCAAAGACCACCGCTGCTAGCTTAAGATCATGTGTGGGGTAGTTCTTTTCATGAGGTTTAAGTTGACGAAAAGCATAAGCGATAACCCTTCCATTTTGCATGAGTACACAGCCTAGCCCTTTATAAGAAGCATCACTATAGATCACAAATCCTTCAGTACTAGATGGTAGAACAAGAACTAGTGATGTAGTTAACTTTGTTTTCAATTCCTAAAAGGCAGATTACTGTTGTTCTGACCATTCAAACAGTACACCCTTTTGAGTTAATTGAGTGAGTGGCACGGCAATTTTGGAGAAATCTTTAACAAACCTTCGGTAGTACTCGGCTAATCCCAAGAAACTCCGCACCTCGGTCACATTGGTAGGAGTTGGCCAAACTATGATTGCTTCAATCTTGTGTGGATCAACAGAAACACCTTCATTCGTTATCACATGTCCCAAAAACCCTACTTCATGTAGCCAAAACTCATATTTCTTCAATTTTGCATACAATTTCTTATCCCGAAGCGTCTGAAGAATTAAACAAAGGTGGTTCTCATAAGCTTCTGCATTCTTTGAATAAATGAGGATGTCGTTGATAAACACTACTACAAACTCATCCAGGTAGGGCTTGAAGACATGATTCATTAAATCCATAAATGCTGCCGGTGTGTTGGTAACTCCAAAGAGCATAACCAAGAACTCATAATGACCGTATCGGGTTCGAAAAGCAGTCTTTTCAACATCCTCAGCTTTAACCTTCAGTTGATGATATCTAAACCGTAAATCAATTTTCGAAAAGGCTTGTGCCCCTTGTAGCTGGTGAAACAAATCATCGATCCTAGGCAATGGGTACTTGTTCTTGATGGTTACTCTATTGAGCTCCCTGTAATCCACACACAATCGAAGGGTTCCGTCTTTTTTCTTCACAAAGAGGACTGGTGCACCCCAAGGAGAAACACTAAGGCATATGAACCCCTTATCCAGTAAATCCTGCAACTGAACCTTTAACTCTTTCATCTCAACTGGTGACATCCTATAAGGAGTTTCAGAAATGGGTTGAGTTCCCGACACCACTTCAATTGTGAATTCGATTTCACGATCCACTAACTCTCCTGGTAACTCTTCCAGGAAAACATCCGGGAATTCATGAACAATCAGGATCATATCAATACACCTATTCACTGTTTGCCCATTCAAGACACTACATAAATACTGTAGACACCCCATTTTTGACCGTCCCCAAGACTTGGACGTCACCGCTTGAACACCCAGTGATCATCCTTGTTTGTGTTGGTCTTGAGTTCCCGGAGGTTTTGGCAACGCGCCTTGCCTCAAGACCTCTCGACTCGACTGTTTTGTGTCTGGTTTTGCACCAAACACTCGTGTTTTGCCTTGGAGGGGCAGGGAATGCCTTGTGAGCCATCCCCAAACATCACGGGCCATGGCTTGAGGCCACCAGCTATGTTTTGCTTCTATCGGCCAAATGTTTGGCCGACCGGCACTATAGATGGCCGGCCGGCTATCTTTTTTTGGTCAATTGCATTTTTGACCAGCTGACTACTGTGCATCTGCTTTTGCAGATATTTTTGTGCAACTGGCATACACTGTCACCCCCTCCATACACGTGTATGGAGGGATTGCCCTCTTGTTAGCTTCCTTTGGAAGCTTTACAAGACTAATTGTCTATAAAATAGAACCTCTTCGGTCTTGTTCAGGGGTGAGATAACTTAGACGATATTTTCAGAGCTTGAGCTTTAGGGTTAGGGTTTACATATATCCTCTATCTCTATATCTCTCTCTCTCTTGTGTTTAGTGTGTGTTTAGTCTCATTTTTGTGCACAAACACCCACCATCACACCTTTTCTTAGTTGCTGAGGTACCAGAGGTCTTTTCTTGAAGCTTTTGGACTGGTTTGGAACCAAAAGAGCTGTTGGAACATTGTTTGTGAAGAGGGTCTACAAGGGTAAGACTTTTGTCCCTTTTTACACCATTTTTGCAAAGCTTTTTAGCCTATCTTGCATCTGTTTTTGAGTTTAGCATATAGCATATAAAAGTCTTGTTTTTGTCTGCTCTAAATAGTTTGTTAAGGGTGTTTTAAGCTTTGGGGTTGTTTGACCCCTCTTAAGGCTTGTTTGGCCTTTGTTTTGTGCCATTTTGGTTGAGCTCCGGGACCATTGTGTTTGGGCCTCCTCACCACTGAAATCTTAAGGGATTTCAGAGTGAGGATGGTGCCTTGAGGTCCTAGGAAGAGAGGGCCACCCCCTCTCCTTGTTGTCCTTGAAAGGGCTATTTTTGCCTCTTGAGGGAGCACCTAGTTTAAGTGTGTGTTGACCATGCCTGACTGATATTTATGCTTATTTTGCCATGAAATAGCATTATGTTGAGTTGTTTTGGACACACCTTGCATGCTTTTGCATACATGTCTTGTAATGCCATCATTTAGCCTTAACATGCATCTAGGCTTTGACCCTGTTCAAGCATGTTTTAGGCCCTGCTTTGTGAAGCTTTTGTACTTGTTTTTCCATGCTTAAGGTCTCCCTTTGCCTGTGGTGTTTCTACAGCACTCATAGAAGCACCTGGGACTTCGTGCAGTCTTTCAGAGGAGGAAACAGCCAAAGTAGAGGCATTTTTGTGCACGGTAGAGACTTTCCGATTGGAACCGAGCGCGCATGCATGGACCCTCTTCCGAGGCTGTTGTTTACTGCTTAATTTGATTAGTTAATTTGCTTAGCTAAGTTTAATTGATTTGTAATATTTAATTAGCTTGTAGGTTAATTAAATTGTATTATTCTTTCGGTCCCTCCGAGCGAGGGCAATTTGTAATAAGTGTTGGTGTGTGTGCATGTCTTCCAACCCCCACTTCTTTCTCCCTTTCACTTACCTGCTTTGGTGATTAGCATTAGGGCATGTTTACTTTAGCATTACCTTATGCTATGCATGCGTGCATCATTCATCAGTATTGCATGCACCAGGCCTCGGCGCATCATACTGACTGCATAAGTATTTCAAATCTAACTTGAATACATGCTACTTATGCATTTCACATGTCATTTATAGACTAGCCGAGCCTACTCTAGTGACATTCCGTATGCATTGCATTAGGCATTTAAACATGGACTTGGATCATGCGTGATTTCTAATATGTTCTTGTTTTGGCACGAAGTACTAGGGTGAGCTCTTTTTATGCTTAGCATCTCACATGAGTGCGAACGTAACATGATAGCATGATACCATGAGGCTAGATGCTTATGTGATAAACTGCTTGAGTGCCTGTGGGTGAAGATTGGATTGTTTGAGTTGGGAAACTCATTGAAATCGTGCTTTAAGCCTACTTGTGAGTAGCAAATTTCAAACTGTTTTTCAAACAAACGGATATGCAATGCTTCGTTCCAAATTAGGTGAACTAGTCTATATTTTTGTGTTGTGCGCATTACATAGTAATTCTAGCTAATTGACTGGAATAAGAACACATAACGTTTTCAAAATCGGATATCATGGTTAGTAGAGGCCGATCTTCGGATCTAGCGAGAGGGGGTGCTCATAGCTTACCTTCCCCAATCGTACCCAAGTTTCGCAGCCGAGGCAACTTTGGTGATGACGGACACGTGGCCTTTGGCACCGAGTCAGGGTTTCCTAAATTCCCCCATAAAAAAAAATATTTAGGTGGCGACTCTGTATCTGGCAAAGCAGTCCATCCTTGGCACTTCTTTTCAAAAATCTGTTTCTCAAAACGATTTGTCGGATTTGGACTCTTTGGTTTCGATTAAGAACCGTGACACAAATTGAGTCCGAACTGTAGTGAGGCCCCAGGGCGCGTCTACAGTTTCTGGCGACTCTGCTGGAGATTTTAGAGAGCTTGACTCGAACTCATGATATCCTGTCTTGATTTCATTTATGTGTCTCTTTGCGTTGCATGTGCATTGGTGCGCCTAGGACACCGTGTTTGCCATCTGCCATTCCTGAACGGTTTGCCGGAGGCTTGACTTTGTCAAAGCATGCCATAAGGCTGACCGGTTGTGGGCTCTGACAGTATGGGAACACAAACCCCGGTTTTACTGGGGCGCCCTTTTCGACCATTTGACCTAGTGCATATCGAAATCCATAGTGACCATTCCAAACTAGGACAGGTTGCTTATCCGATGTTAGGTTGTTTGAAAACTGTTGCGTGTATAGTGAAACCCTAGCTCCTGACAAAAATAGGACAGGGAAACCCTACCCCTCCATAGGGGTGTTTTGGCTCTCTTTACTTGCTGTGTGCTTTTAGAATGCATCTCTACAGGGAACGTACATATCAGTTTGCAAGTTTGAGTATCAGGCCTGAGGGCACCAGTATCAGTTTATGAGAATCAGTTATACCTATGGATATCCGATTCAGTATTTTGGGGGCAGTGATTTCGGGCAACAATGGTCAGCAATAGAGTACAGTTGTTCGGCTACATCTGTGTTTGATCCATTTGGGCTGAAACACTACTTGTTTTTCCTTTCAGTTCAGAGAGTTGATACAGAATAGCTAGTGTTCCCCCTTGCTGAGACAAGACAGATATCTGATCCGTCAGTCATCGTTTAGTACAGCAGACTTATCATGACGCAGAATTCGGAGGAGATTGTGGTTATGACGGCCGCATCAGATCAACGAATCACTCTGCAAAGCGAGACCAATGTCG